CTCTTTTCCGTGGAGTACAGTGTTGTACATAGGTTTTTTTTGTCTTCACTAGAGTAGAGTGTTGTATATCGAAGCTGGCTGTCTTGCGCGGAGTACAGTGTTGTATATATGGACTGATTGTCTTCCCGTGAATTAGAGTGTTGTATATAGAGGTTGTCTCTCTTCCATTGATTAAGTGTTGTATATCGAGGTTGTCTGTCTTCCGTGGAGTAAAGTGTTGTATATAGGGACTGATTGTCACAACCATGTGGGAAGGGTGGAAGACGCCATCTTGTTCAGTATACCCCATACACAACATGGACAGACGACCTCGAGCTCCGGTATCGAGTTTTGTGTACAGTGCTAATCTTGTTAAGCATATCAGTAGTTGCTGCAACAGTGTATCAAACCAGTTGTGAGGCTGTTCTGTCACATGGCAAGGTATGCATTGGCCCCACATTGCACGGACTTCCTCGGCTAATTGTCAGATGCGTTGAGAAGGTAAACATTGACTTTGAACAATTTGCTAGCAGCATTTTTCTCACTTTGTGTGGCGATATAGAAGTAAACCCAGGCCCAAATGATAGCGATAAAAATCTAGATACACAGAAGCTAGAACGAGAACTTTTGTCAGAAATGAGAGCGATGAAGACTGATATATCTAGCATGTCGAAAGAAATTAAAGGACTACGGTCCGATACCAACAAAGTGAATGATCACTTTTTGAGATTAAATCGGACTAAGAATGTCTAAAATCATCATATGATATTATGAGACTTGATATTGACGATGTGGCTGGAAGATTAGATAGACTTGAAGACAGGTCACGTGACGAAAGTGTTATTAGTGAATTGAAAGATGTGCAAGAGAGATTTGATTGAGAACGAACTGGATAAACAGAAACAACACAGCAGAAAGAACAATGTAATACTGTATGGCATGTCAGAGATGCCCCATGAATTTACATCACAGTGCAAGGAAATGGTGTGCGAAGTATTAAATAATAATTCTAAATCAGGTGATCCACAAATCAATCATGATTCCATTGCAGCAGCGCACAGATTAGGATCTGTGAGTTCCGGATCAGCAAGCAAGTCTCCTCGGCCAATGATTGCTAAGTTCATTTATGTAGAGGACAAGGTTTGGGCCTTAGGTCTCAGAGAAAATCTTAGAAAGAATCTCATTGGAATTTCTAATGACCTTACCATGAAGCAGCGTAATGCGTTAAAGAAGCTCAGAGAGAACAATAAAGTGGGCTACTATAAATATGGAAGGCTGGTTGTCAAAGAATGTGATAGTCAATCTACCTCGAAAGATGGATCTGCAAGTGAGTCTACTAATGTTCATGGAGGTGGAGATGCTAGTCGCACCAACGTCAACAGTGGTGACGAAAGTCGTAGACGTCTTAGATCTCACGCTCAGCATCCCCATGAGGAAGGATCCAGGAAATAGGGGTGTGGCCGAGCCCATGGTGTGCACAAAGACTAAACTTTTTTTTTTGGAATGTCAGCGGATTGTTGACAAAGATAGTGGACAATAACTTCATTTCTTTTGTCGATACATTCGACATTATTGGACTCACAGAGACTCGGGCAAAAGACATTGAATTTGTGGATGTATTCACAGATTACATTGCTTATAATGTAAATGCTATCAAAACTGCCCAGTCTGGACGTTTATCAGGCGTAATTTCACTATAAATTAGAAAATCATTAAAATATTTTATAAAGTATGTGCATATTGGTGAAAATGCGGTATTCATTGCATTTAATAAGTCCTTATTTGTTCATGAAAAAGATATCTTGTTGTGTTCAGTTTATATTAACCCAGATGGGTCGTCATTGTATGACAGTAAGAACTGTAGATGTGGTATCACTTTATTTCAAGAAGATTTATTTGATGTCCTGCAGAAAGTGGGCGATGTTTATATAATTCTTGGTGGCGATTTTAACGCTCGGACAGGCACAGATGTGGATTTTGTAAACTATGATATAGCCGAACACTTAAATATAAATTTCTTTGATTTTATGTGTGATAGTCTCAATATTACTAGGCATTCATGTGACAAAAAAAAAAAAAAATATGGCCGAAAATTGTTGGATCTCTGTGCAACATTGAATCTGAATATATTAAATGGAAGAGTGGGTCGTGATGCCGGTACAGGTGATTTTACCTATATCAGTTCCACAGGAACAAGTGTGATTGACTATATTATTACTTCCAGCAACCTGTTTTCTTTGTGTGATAGCTTTAACATTGTCTCGAGAGGGGAATCCTCCCACTTACCGGTCTCATGTTCATTTCAATCACGTGTTCACTCGGCAGCACATGCAGAGAGGCAAGAAGCACGTGTTGGTGCAAGTGCCAGTTATAAATATATGTGGGACACTGACAAGCTGTCTGATTTTAGAGACAACCTTATGTCACCAGGTATTTTAAATATGTTAATGTCATGCTCTGACGTAGCTATGACTGATATTGATGCAGCTATAGACGAACTTACCACAGCTATATGATCCGCAGCTGACTGTATGAAAAGGAGTCTGTTCATAAAACCGAAGTCACAACCTTGGTATGATAAGGAATGTGTTTACATAAGGATGGAAAGAGATAGACTTTTGAAAGTATTCAGACAAGTCAGGGACAATATATCTCTTCAGAACTTTATTACAGCCCGTAATCTGTACACAACTCTTCTTAGGAACAAAAAAAGACTTTATGCTGAGAAGATTAGAGTTAAATTATTGTCACACATTAATAATGCTAAAGATTTTTGGAGAATATTGAGAGATTGTTCATCATCTAGTAATAATATATCACCTATATCTACAAGTATGTGGTATGAGCATTTTAATGATTTGTTTAATAGTTGACAGACCCACATGAAGATGATGGTGAAGTTGACAATGAGTGTTTTGATGACGTTTTTAAATCATGTGTAAATACCTTAACTGATGATGTCTCTAAGGATATTTTAGATTCACCTATCTCCCGAGAGGAAAGCAATTTCACAGCTTAAATGTTCAATGTCTGCAGGGTTGGATCATGGTAATGGTAAAGTAAACTGGGTTTCCAAAATTAGACACATAATTGTGTCAGCAGGATTTGGTTTTATATGGGATCAACAGTATGTTGCAAATATACCTTTGTTTATAAAATTATCGTACCAACAAGACTGGCATTCATCTATACGTGAAAGTTCGAAATCATATTATTATTCTTTGTATAAGCAAACATTTGGTGTTGAAATGTATATTACAAGGCTATCATGTGATACATTTAGAAGTATTATGGCACGTTTCAGATGTAGTTATCATCATCTAAGAATTGAATCAGGTAGACATAATAAGGAACCTAGAGAAAAAGAGTTTGTACTGTTTGTAAACATGATTATATCGAAGATGAGTATCACTTTATTTTAATTTGTGATTGTTATCAAGTTTTGAGGTTAGAATATATATCCTTGAATTATTATGAGTTCCCGACAAGACATAAGTACAGTATTTTAATGTCATCCACCAACCCATTTACCGTTAAGAAACTAGCCATGTATATTCTAAAAGCTATGATTGGGAGTCTGTTGGGATCTCCAACTCCCATCACCACACTGTAACCATTGTATCATGGGCCTATGGCCTACAATACATCTGAATAAAGTGTATATAGACTGATTGTCTTCCCGTGAGTACAGTGGTGTATATTGAGGTTGTCTCTCTTCCGTGAATTAGAGTGTTGTATATGGAGGTTGTCTCTCTTCCATGGAGTAAAGTGTTGTTTATCGAGGTTGTCTGTCTTCCGTGGAGTAAAGTGTTGTATTTTGGGACTGATTGTCTTCCCTTGAGTACAGTTGTGTTTTTCGAGCTTGTTTGCCTTCACTTGAATACAGTATTGTATATCGAAGTTGGCTGTCTTCCATGGAGTACAGTGTTGTATATAGGACTGATTGTCTTCACTTGTGTACAGTGTTGTATATGGAGTTTATCTGTCTTCCGTTGAGTAAAGTGGTGTATATGGAGGTTGTCTGTCTTCCGGTGAGTAAAGTGTTGGATATCGAGGTTGTCTGTCTTCCTTGGTGTAATATTATTTCTTTCGTTTGAGGTACGAATAAGAAAGAAATTACTTTCTCCTACCGTAGGAAAATACAACATGGTGTTGTGTAATAGTAGGGGGGCGCTTATAAGGGGCTATATAAGGTTAAGCATGTATAGAGTGGTCATTCTCGCTTGCAGTGCGCCACTGAAAACTTTACTTTTGTTATGGAAGCCCAAACACCTATCAACGACAAGTTAGACGCCATTTTGAAACAGTTGAATTCATCTAAAGAAGAGATAGCGAAAAGTATAGATGAACGATTAGATCTTAGAGTTGCTGGTTTAAGAGAAGAATTCTCAAGGACAAACAAAGAGTTACAGAAACTGAGAGCAGAGAAAGATTACGTATGGTCACGCGAGGGTAATCGCATTCAATATTCTTTTAATGAAGAGACTTTAGAGACATTTAAACAAATTGAATTTGGAATTCAGTACGGTAAGAGTGATTACGTAACTGAGTTAGTCAAGAATGAGATAGCTAGGATCGAGAACAGAAACAAACACATAAAAATTGCAGATTCGTCCGAGGGAGGCTGGGAGACCGTGAGAAACTACGTGTCCCGTGAATTGGCTGATGACTCCGATGATGACCGTCGCATCACGAGGGCCGAGAACAAGGCCATCAAGAAAATCAAGGCCAAAAACGCACGTAATGCACGTGCGCGTCCTTATAGGTATGGACCACGGCCCATTCCAGCGTCAACAGCGGTCAACGACAGCACGCACGGTCAGTCTGCTGTTGGTGGTTCTCAGCTTTTTCGTGCCCGTGGAGGTCAGAGGTCAACAGGGGCCTGCTTTCACTGCGGTGACTTCTCGCATTGGAGACGAAATTGTCCACTCGCTAACGGCCAGACCCAGCCCAAGCTCAACTCAGACAAACAATCAACGAGGTGAAGTCCGTCACGAAGAAGCCGGGACAAAAGTTAAGTGTAGTTTTGAATCTTCTTCTCTCAATAATGATACATTTAGAATTACAACCGATTATTGTGAGTATGAGCAGGGTCAGGCTGAGATCTGCGTGAAGAATAGACTTAAAGAAAATGTTTCTTTTTGGAAGTATATCGGAGCAACAGATTTTGTGTTAGACATTATTGAAAACGGGTACAAGATTCCGTTTTACTCGACTCCTCCAATGATGGATAAGAGAAATAACAGATCTGCTATTAAAAACAGTAAATTTGTTGATTCGGCCATTCAAGATTTAGTACATAAAGGTCTCGTAGATGTTTGTGACGTAAAACCTCATATAGTGAGCCCTCTATCAGTCGCTACACAATCGTCAGGGAGGAAAAGACTTTAATCTAGATTTATCAATTATAAATAAACATATTTGGAAAACTTCAGTGAAGTATGAAGATTGGAGATCAGCTTTGATGTATATTGAAAAAGGAGATTGGTTATCAAAATTTGACATTCATTCTGCCTATCATCATATAGACATTTATCCTGCACATACTGACTTTTTAGGATTTGCGTGGGGAGAAGGTCAGAATCGCATATTCTACAAATTTCTAGTTTTGCCCTTTGGCTTAACAACCGCCCCGTATGTTTTCACGAAAGTTACAAGGCAATTGGTTAAATACTGGCGGTTTCAAGGTCATAAGGTTGTAACATTTTTGGATGATGGAATTGTGTCTGATAAAACGAAAAATTGTGCAATGTCTACAAGTGGTTCTATAAAGAAGGATTTAATCAAATCAGGATTTGTCCCGAAAGTAGAAAAATCTTTGTGGGAGCCTCAACAATGCATTGAGTGGTTGGGTCTTATCATTGAAACTAAAAGTATGTCTTTGACAGTTCCAGCCAGAAGATTGGAAAAAGTTCTGAAAATGATAGATCGTTTGTTAGACATAGGCGTTCGAAGCAAGGTTTCTGTGAGAGATATTGCATCAGTGATTGGTCAAATTATTTCTATGAAAATGGTTACAGGCTCAGTGTGTCAATTGATGACTCGGTCTATGAGTTTGCAAACATTAGATGTATCATCATGGAACGAAAGTATCAGATTGAATGAAGTTAGTTTGCGCCAGTTAGAGTTTTGGAAAAGTAACATTCATAAGCATTCACAATGTGTTTTATCAGAAACACAAGGTGTGACTCGTGTTGTATATAGCGATGCAAGTGCTTCGGGATATGGTGGTTACTGTGTTCAATATGGAAGCCAGAGGGCTCAAGGTCAATGGTCACGTGACGAGGCAGAACAAAGTTCTACTTGGAGAGAATTAACAGCGGTTAAGTGTGTATTACATGCTTTATCCAGAGTTCTAACATCCCAGAGGGTAAAATGGTTTACCGATAACAGCAATGTGGAATCCATAGTGTCCAAAGGAAGTATGAAAGCAGATTTGCAGAAGATTGCTTTAGAGATATTTGATTTATGTGTGTCACATGCTATTCATCTGGAGATTCAATGGATACCCAGATCAGAGAATCAGAAGGCAGATTATATCAGTAGGATTGTAGATTATGATGATTGGGGTATAGCTACCCACATTTTCAATGAGCTCGAAAGAAAATGGGGTAAATGTGACATCGATAGATTTGCCACGCATTACAACTGTAAAGTTGTCAGATTCTGTTCAAGGTTTTGGAATCCTGGGTGTGAATACATCGATGCGTTCACACAGAGTTGGGATAGTGTAAATAACTGGGTAGTTCCCCCTGTGTACCTCGTGAGTAGAGTGTTGAAACACATGAAATGGTCAAAAGCGAAAGGTACTTTGATAGTTCCGGCGTGGTATTCTGCAAATTACTGGCCATTATTGTGTCCTAACGGTATCTTCATACCACAAGTGTGGGATTTCTGTTATCTACCTAGAGAAAGAGAGGCTTACGTGCCAGGTAGATGTCAAGGGGGAATATTTGGTATTGAGCATTTGCATTTTAACATGTTGGCGTTGAAAATGCAATTTTGATGTTTATGTTTACAGATGTGTTTACTCGTGCTTATGTTTCTGAGTTGGAGATGTTGCCTGGAACTGCCAGGGATTTAGCTGACCAGATTCCGGACTTGTTGAATTGTGCTCGAGCTGATTCTACTAGCAGGAAGTACCATTACGGATTTAAAGCGTGGCAAAGGTGGGCTAATTCAAACAGCATATGTGTAGACGTTCCTGTTCAGCCTTTGCATTGTGCTATTTATCTTGTTGCTGTAATGCAGCGTAATGATTCGTTTTCATCAGTTCAGACTGCGTTTTATAGCATACGCCATGTGCATAATTTGTTGGGACTGCCAAGTCCGACAGATAATTCTCTTGTTCGAAATGTTCTTGAGGCTGCTAAGAGAAAGCTTTCGAAACCCAAATGTAAAAAAGAGCCAATTACTGTAGATATTTTAGAGAAATTGGTTGATGTTAAGCAACACAGCGATTGCTTGAAGGATATTCGCATTGTTGCTATGAGTTAAGTTGCTTATGCCGGCTTTTTGAGATCTGCTGAGCTTCTCAATTTGAAGAGATGTGATATTATTTTTTACGAATCTTATATGAAAGTGTTTATTGAGAAATCGAAAATTGATATGTATCGAGATGGTGCCTGGTTATTAATAAGCAGAACAAGAGGGAAGCTATGCCCGGTTTTTTGGTTAGAAAAATATGTTGAAGCGGCTTGTATTGATAATGAGTCACAAGAGTATCTTTTCAGAAACTTATCAAAGTGTAAGACATCTTACGTTTTAAGAAAACAAAATTCAAGTATGTCATATACTCGTTTGAGGGAAGAGTTTATTGAAGCTTTTGCCCCCTTTGTCAGAGATATATCAAAGTATGGTTTGCATAGTTTGCGTGCAGGCGGTGCAACAGCTGCAGCTAACAATGGTGTCCCGGACAGGATGTTTAAGAGGCATGGTAGATGGAAAAGTGAGAACGCAAAAGATGGATATGTAAAGGATTCAGTAGAACATCGTTTGTCAGTATCAATGTCGTTAGGACTATAGTATTTTATATTATCAGCCCGTTCTTTGAATCTCGAGTTGTGGTGCACTGCATAGCAATCCAGAAAGTGTTCTGTTATTTGTTGTATTGGAAGGTGATATATAGGAGAAATATTATTTCTTTCGTTTGAGGTACGAATAAGAAAGAAATTACTTTCTCCTGCCGTAGGAAAATACAACATGGTGTTGTGTAATAGTAGGGGGCGCTTATAAGGGGCTATATAAGGTTAAGCATGTATAGAGTGGTCATTCTCGCTTGCAGTGCGCCACTGAAAACTTTACTTTTATTAATGATTGTTTCTAAGTTGCAGTATGTGCGGTTAACGGTGTTAACCATGATGGCCTGTCGCCCACGACGAGGTATGTCGCAAAAGATGGAGGCTTGTCGCCCTGAGAATGTCGCAAACATGGAGGCTTGTCATGCTGAGAAACTGATGCCTGTCGCATGTAAACAGTAGCTCGTTGCTCATGATATTTTATTATCACTGATTATGGCTTGTTGCCTTTTGTAGGGCTCGTTGCCACGTATATTTGAAGCTCGTCGCGTTAATCAAGACTAGTCGTCAGTATTTGTATATTGTCAATTTATTCAATGTCATATGTTAGATATTGTGTATATCATGGATGTCAAATGACTGAGATATATGTAAATGTGATATTAATGTTGAATTAAACAGTGAGTTGTGGTGCACTGCATAGCAATCCAGAAAGTGTTCTGTTATTTGTTGTATTGGAAGGTGATATATAGGAGAACTGTGATGTTTACGCATGATGCTGTCTTCACTTGACTACAGAGTTCTATATGGAGTTTATCTGTCTTCCGTTGAGTAAAGTGGTGTATATGGAGGTTGTCTGTCTTCCTTGGAGTACAGTGTTGTATATTCGTGATGCTGTCTTCACTTGAGTACAGAGTTCTATATGGAGTTTATCTGTCTTCCGTTGAGTAAAGTGGTGTATATGGAGGTTGTCTGTCTTCCGGTGAGTAAAGTGTTGGATATCGATGTTGTCTGTCTTCCTTGGAGTACAGTGGTGTATATTCGTGATGCTGTCTTCACTTGAGTACAGAGTTCTATATGGAGTTTATCTGTCTTCCGTTGAGTAAAGTGGTGTATATGGAGGTTGTCTGTCTTCCGGTGAGTAAAGTGTTGGATATCGAGGTTGTCTGTCTTCCATGGAGTACAGTGTTGTATATAGGACTGATTGTCTTCACTTGTGTACAGTGTTGTATATGGAGTTTATCTGTCTTCCGTTGAGTAAAGTGGTGTATATGGAGGTTGTCTGTCTTCCGGTGAGTAAAGTGTTGGATATGGAGGTTGTCTGTCTTCCTTGGTGTACTGTGTTGTATATTCGTGATGCTGTCTTCACTTGAGTACAGAGTTGTATATATGGTCTGATTGTTTTCACGTTTGTACAATGTTGTATATCGAGGTTGTCTGTCTTGTATATAGGAGCTACTTATTTTCACTTGAGTACAACGAAGTATATGGACTCCGAGGTTGTCTCTCTTCCATGAAGTAAAGTGTGTACATGGGGGCTTCTGTCTTCACTTGAGTACAGCGTTGTATATCGAAGTAGGCTGTCTTCCATGGAGTACAGTGATGTATATAGGACTGATTGTCTTCACTTGTGTACAGTGTTGGATATGGAGTATATCTCTCTTCCATGGAGTACAGTGCTGTATATATGGGCCTTTTGTCTTCACTTACAGTGTTGTATATCGAAGTTGGCTGTCTTCCATGGAGTACAGTGCTGTATATATGGGCCTTTTGTCCTCACTTCCAGTGTTGTTTATCGAAGTTGGCTGTCTTCCATGGAGTACAGTGTTGTATATATGGACAGATTGTCTTCACGTGAGTACAGTGTTGTATATCGAAATTGTCACTCTTCCGTGGAGAAAAGTCATGTATATCGAGATTTTCTCTCTTCCATGGAGTAAAGTGTTGTATATCGAGGTTGTCTGTCTTCCGTTGAGTAGTGTTATTTTTAGATTCCACTGATGGAAAAGGCAAAACAGGGGTGAACATTATACAAATGGATCACCGAAATTCATTGTAAGAAACCTGGAAGTAATGCATTTCGAGATAGAGATGTGTATATGCATGGACTGATGTACATATATCGCTGTTACAACTAGAGATTGTCATATTTTCTAAGCCAAGCATTATCATTATTTTTGTCATATTTTCCAAGCCAAGCATTATCATTATTTTTGTGTTTTTCATCCCCAAATATTGTGGTTTTAATGAATACGAAATTTTGAAGATCACTAAGTGCAAAGGGAATCTTTCAAGAAGGGGCGATCACTCTATTCAGTTTGTACACTTAATTGTCCTTAACATTAATTACTTCAAAGTTAAAAACTGTATCATACACAAGCACGCACGCACGTCCCTCGCACTCACGCAGACACATTTCATATGAAATAGAACAAATATCACTATTACAATATGTCGAAAATACACCCGGACCTGATAATATTATGATTAACATGTATGATTAATAAACATATGGAGGATATAATTATAATAATCCCGAAATGTATGAATATATCTTGATCAAATAGAGTTAGTAAACACACAGATGAAAAGGAAAGTACTTCAGTTGACATAATTGTTGATGGAATGAGACAAAATCTAATATGAAATAATCAATACCTGTGCCTGAGACTAAAGTGTGTGATTTTTTATTCATGTTTTGTGACATCATAAAGAAATTGCCAATTCTTATTTGGTATAAGTAGAAATGAATTGCATATATCTCATTGGTGAAGTTCAATATGTCAATTAAAAACTCAGTCATTGGAATATTTAAGGCAGCAATATGAATAAATTTAACTTGGCTTCTGGCATACTTTGTACTTCTGCATGTTCTTTCTTTAGTATTGCACCTGAAGCCACCAATTGGAATACTATTCATATATACATCCAATGGTCATCCAAATAATAATTTCATAATGTTTCGATCCCTTGTATTAAAAAAATAACTATATGTGTACAGTATCAGACTTACAAGATTGATATATGTGAATAATGTTCATTACGATAATATAAGTTTAAGAATGTTTTAAATAAATAAATTCATTGTAAAATGACACCAAAATAATAATTGATCAAGACATCTGACAAACCCTTTTAGCGGGCTGAGAATATCTTGAGCATGTTCATGTTGTCTACATGTACTTCTTTAGATATTACGAATATAAACAATGTTATCTAACACAAATTCAACAGAAAAATGGAATAAAATATTGGGGAAATTTTACCACACAGCCTATTCAGTCATTGATAAATGTAAAAAAGGGTACAATTGGAAGGGAAAAAACTACTTGACTTAACATCACCCTCCCATCTCCCCCACTCAAAAGAGAAAAAAAATGTTCTGTTTCCCATACATGTAAGAAATTACATTCAGAAATCAGTCAAATTATTATTATGTGGGCACCCTGTAAACCAAATAATAAAAGCCCAATGTGTAGAACAGACAAACAGACACGCATTAACATTATGGTTGGGTATTAGTGACAAGTGCAGTTATATAATACATTCTGGATTTCAAAACAGATAGTGGTCTGTCATTGTGCCAGGTGTCTTTTGATCTTAACTGAAAACAGACTATTCTGTGTAAACAAAGATGCATTGATTTAATAATATTATGTTCTGTCTGCCTCACTGACCACATTGTTTTCAGAGTAATATTTCACAAAAAATAAGATGTGCATTTTCCTGCTCATTTGACGAGAATTTTTTTTCTTTACTTAGAACTGGTCTTGAATGATTTATCAAATTTATTAATGATTACGTCACTTGATTTACAAAATATCATGCAATGTACAGTAGTATGTATAGTCAATTGCATAGAAGAAATTATTTTATTTCAAAGTTTTTAAACAATATATTGTTGTACATAAAACAAGGAGTCTCACACCAGATTGGTTTCTAAAAAAAACCACAATATTTCTCCCTCAAACATTACTTACTTAACCGAATAATATGGTATCGTGCATGACAATATGAAAATATGTGAAATCTTTAAAATCTGTAGAAATTAAAGATCAAACAAAAAGGTATCAATATCATACGAAACCATCTTCTCCAGAAAAGGGAGTTAGCTGACTATAACATACCTTTCAACCCTAGGCAATAATTTTGTGTCTCCTTCGTAGCGCCACCAGCCACTTTTATAAGTTATTTCCCTTCTAGGTCGCCGCTACTGACCAATCAGATTCCATCTCTCATATCATCTACATTTGCTTTAACAAAATGGCGACGCCAAAATCAAGACGATCTGATCTATTAATCAAGCTCTTTATTTTCATAGAACGGGTCTTAATTCGCGATAGCATCAACTCATTTGAGCACTTTGATTTAAAAACATGAAAGGATTTTGGAAAATAACTGTCAACGCCAAGTTGATGGCACACTTGCTCTGAAAATCGTGCAATTGACTGAAATTTGCACAGCAGCCACAATGTTCTTTATAAATCGGATGTCGATTTTGTTACATGAGTTTGATTTGACTTTGCATAGACTCGTTAGTCCAGCCAAAATGTAACTCCATAATTTCAGCCTAGTTCGGAATCTGAACTGTTATAGTCAGTTAACTCTTTTGCCTCGGGAAGATGTATGAGACAGAAGATATCTGAAACAGCCTCTTGAAGAATGACCCTGAACCTATTATATGATAGATCATTAATAATAACATGGAGGATATTAATAGCATTACCCCGAAAATATATTGATAAGATACAGCTAAATTATAGATGAAAAGGAATCTACTTCAGCCAGTCATCAAACCAAGAAAGAAGAAATGTATTAATTATATCAGTCGAATGAGACAAAATATACACATAAATATTCAGTAAATCTAACTCCCTGTAAATACATTAATATATGTGATGTGTATTCATGACATATCTTTGAAAGCAAAATATAAGTTCGTAGCTGGGCAATATATAATTATTATAAAGAAAACAAGGTAGCAATCCTGGTGTGTAGAAAAATCTATTTTATATTCAGGTGTGTTGTGTCTCGTCTCTCGCCTAATACGCCACTTGAGAGATAAGAAACCCATGACTGTAGGTTCGAATTCCGCTTCGCCCCGATTCCTTTCAATGTTTGTTAATGTGCTCGTGGGTTTTCCTATGTGGTAAATTGGTAAACTTCAGAGACCTGCAACGCTTTCCTCCCACATTAAGCTGAAACGACGTGATATAACTTGAATACTGTTTAAAGCGGCCGTGATCCATGCATAGAAACATGTCCATCTTACCACATATCCTGTAATTGCTGGAAGTACCAATGACAAATGTGTAAAATTCCAGTGGTAGCCGCTCCTCGCTATTGTCAGTTGAGTAGACTATTTCTGTTATCAGTGCACAGATCCAACGAAACTGTAGCTGTCACGGCACATGGAGATAGCAAATGACAGAAGATTGTTGTGTTCCGATTACAATTGAATATTTTCTTCTAGTATTGTTATGTATATGGTGCAGATGCAGTGATCATTGTGAAAGATATTGACATACTTCCACATTAGCCTTTGTAATTTTTTATACACACAGGAAACAACAGGTCAAGCTTGAGCAGCAAAAACTTCCAGAACTTCCCTCTCGGACTGCCAATTTATTTCTTTACTTTTTGAAAGTAGAATTTCTCGCATCCATTGCCTCTGTGTTAGGCGTGGTAGCGCTATTTTAAAACCAATAACAACGCCATCTTAAATTGTCTCATCAATACATTACCAATTTAAATTCTTACCCGCAAGACCAGGCTCACATTTAAGACCTAAAATGTCTCATTGTGGATTGTTTCTGAGCAAATACATAATCTGTACGCTTTACATTGTCCACATATATACATTTACATTTGATGCTTAACAAATAATTCCCCATGGTCTCACTCTGCTAGCTTAAGCATACTTGGCCATAGTTTTAATACCTCATTTACGAACAGTTATCTGCCATTGGTGTGAACATTTTATGCATCTCTGGTACAAAACATACGGGTTTCTACTTATCTATAATGACGAACTTCTGTGCATTCCATCACGTAGATAACATTCATGTAGTTTATGATTCTAAGTGAAACTTTGGCTTCTAATCAACTAGGATACACAACCTGGTGCAGAGAGACTCTGGAGAAAGAACATGCATCATGCAGAAATCATCAGAAGGAACCTACCTTTACTCAAAAGGGACCTGCACCCAGAAGAGGTGCTTGACAACCTGTGGTCTACCGGAGCATTCAGCGACTTGGAGTATAGGAGCTGTAAAGAAGAAGACAAGAAACGAGCACAGACTGAAAAGCTGCTGGAAATATTGATGAAAAAGGAAGAGAATGTGTATAAACAATTCTGTGTTGTGCTACACGAAAACCACAGACATCTCAAAGAGCAGTTGGACAAAACAGCCAAACATGAAGGTAGACATTGTGAAAAAAGACCATCTCACTTTAATATGACCTTACTTGGTATGGTAGTGTGTATATCTGACAGTGCTAGTGAATTAGGTAAAACCATCTTGCATGCTGCCATTAATGTCATCATACCAAATGCCGATTGGAACCCTACATATCCATATGATCAATAATTAGCATTTTCGTAACGCCATGTAGAGCATGATCAATAATTGAATTATTTTGCAACTGGCTTCCTGTGTGGCTTGAAACCTTGAAAAGAGGTTAGGATGCCACTTGGGAACATGGTAATTAAACCACTTTAACTGATTGTGAATTGAAGTCGTTTAACACTCCTCCTACCCCGTCCCCGTCCCTCTGTCCTCCCAAAGGTATTGAATGTTAGTGTGAGCTTGTTAAAATTGATAGAATGGACAGACTTTATGTTGTATGGCTCATTTAGTCACAGTGTGTATGTAACATTTTCGGTTTTGTTCAAGATTCTCCAAGCCTGGTATTTGTCAGTGAGACAGAGGTACAGGAGCGGGTGTCTGTAATGGAACAGAGGGTTGCTGTGTTGCAGAAGGTAGACATTAATTTTGTAATGGCCCTGGAGGTTTGGTTCTTGTAGTTATTGTTTTGATTAGTTAACAAAGGTTTATTATTTTCAATTTTTAAAACTTATTTTATTGAGGGGATTATTAGAGTGGCTGTTAGGTATATGTATACCACCAGTATGAGTAAACGGACCTTACATGAGACCAGATCCTAATAATGCAACATTCTGTTCCAGGAACTAGATGATTCGAGACAAGAAGCACAACATACCAAGGCTGAATGGGAGAGGGATTTCAAAGAATTAAATGGGCAGCATGGACAGCAGGAAACATCTTTAAAGAAGGAAAATCACATATTGTCCCAGCACCTGGAGCAGGAGAAGAACAGGACGAAAGCGGGTAGGACATCATGATACAAGATACACATTCCACTGTTTATGTTCTGTGTATAGTGTTTGGTGTAGGCAATGGAACCTAACGTGTCTATCGGAATCAAAATGTATGACATTTACTGAAAGATGAATATACAAATATAAGTTTAAATAATGCATTTAGATGGCAAGGGTTTGGAGCATGTTTGTTTTAAAATATTCCTTGATTGGATTCGCCATTTTGTTTTCATTTTTATTCAAGTTCAAGCAATGTTAGAAGGGATGAAAGGCAAAAATGAACGTATGACCAAGGTAAGCCTTCGTTACAGTAGGCAGGTAGTGCTTATGGTGGTTCATTATCTGTTATTAATTGGTTTATTGGTTGGAAGGGCAAAATGCCATGTCGCTGGGCAGCGTCGGGTACCTTAGGTATGAAACAAACCTATGCGTCTTGTGAGTCATGTGGGAACATAAAGGGACATTACATGACACGCTGTGGTATACTTTAAAGCGACATTGAACCAAGCGCACACGGTGATTGGAATTTACAGTTTCTTTTTTCTGCTTCAAATATCCTTCATCATCACATGAATTCCACCAAAATATTGATGTCATTTTGAATATTATGCGTAGTTGATGTAATCTCAATATATCATGATAAACATTTATTTGGTATAGAAATTATTATAGAATATATTTGTTAATTTGCTTAATTTCAGGATTTGAAGGAAATTCAGCAAAAGTTTGAAGCTCTTACCGCCATTCACACTGACAGAGAGACCAGAGAAAATAGTGGTTCAATAACATCTCAAGGTTGGTCGTTTTAACATGTAGTGATATGCTTCCTTGCAACTGTCAGGTTTATCACTTATACACTTTTATTAACGTTTTCAGCGACTCAAGTGGAGGAAACTGGCTGTGTTCTGAAAACTTCTTCAGATTGTGACACTAGACAACTGCTGTTGTTGCCGTGTCTCCATGCCGCCTGTAAACCCTGCATTGGCCACCTCGACCTGAAGAACATTGTGTGTTCGTGTGGACGGGACATCAAATTGGACGAGAAAAAAACAGTGACCGATTTCGTGCAAAGTAATGAAATCACATTTGCTACAGATAAACGCAAATGTGAATACCTCACAGATCAATGCAAGGGGGGCGTTGTGCGTCATTGTAAGATGTGTAACATTCCCATGTGTGCTAGTTGCACAAGCAAACACGAGGTGACAAGGGGAACTTCACAACACTCTGTCATACTGGCGGAACAGCTTAGTCAAATGCCCATTCGTGAACGACTACCTCCCTCGACTTGTTCAAACCATCCAGCTGAACTTGTCAAATATTTTGACAAACAATGCAACACATCAGTTTGCGATGTGTGTATCAGAGGAAACCATGCCGACCATGGTATTAAAGCACTGGATGTAGCATTTAAAAAAGCTGAAGAGAGTCTTGTAAACAAAGTTCGTCAGCACAAGGAATATCTGGAGAAGATAAAGGCCTCCTCCAGACAGCGACAGATCCGGGTTACAGAGCTGGAGGAAAGGGCAGATCATGTGAAGAAGGAAATAGTTAATGTCCATAGCGACCTTGCTCTGAGTTTGGTTCAAAGGTTAAAGCATCACACCCAGAAAATAGAAAATCAAGTAGAGGAAAACAGAAGGATTCTCCGGAAAGATATGGAATGTCTGGAGACCAGTAGCTCAGCTGTACTGACTACACTAAGTTATGCTGAAAGAGCCATGGCATCTACCACACACGCCCAATTCATGGATCTGTCATCTACCATTGTCAACAAGATAGACGAAGACCTTCTCCGCGTTCTTCCCGAAGATTCAGTGAAGACACAGTCCATGAGTTTCATTCGTCAAGGACATAGAGCTCTTCACGAATTGGTTGAAATGTTTGGCACCTTCAGCACCTCTGACAAGGGCGTAGATGAACTAGATACCATTCCGACTATAACAGGTAATTTTCTTTCTTCGTGTGGTATAACTTTAGTTCGCGTGTTTGAAATCATTATTTAATTCTATAAATTATTATATAAATTTACAAAACAATGAAATATCTTATATCCATTATAATGCGTGGAAAACCAAAACAATATCTTTGTAGATTACACTCGCTATATCTATTTTTTGTTACTGTATTTTCTAGACTTGCAAAATGAGATCGTCATTTTCAAAGATCAGGAAAAGGTAAATAAGAGAACAAACAACATGTTAAACTTTTCATTGTTTGTGTCAGGTACGTCTCTATGAATATACAATAGAAAAATTATGGATTGATAAACATATGTAGAGCACATGTAATCCCACCATTCGTACATGACGTAAGTAAGTAAATGACTTCACTTTATATCAGATGTTATTTTCACACTGGCAGTTTTCCCAAAAGATTTTCTCTAGTACAGTTATAGAAAATATATTAGCATAACATGCTATGTCATGATTTTGTATGATAATACACGCCCCTTAAAATTCACTTCTAAACTTAACATGTAGCAAGCAAAGTCTCTATGACCCATCGCAACAACCATTGTTATATTAGAATTTGTTTCTGTTTTTACATTAGGACTTCAAAATGGAGAGGAAACGTTTGATGGAAGTGACCACGCTCTTAAAGGACAACCAGGAATCACTAGGTAAGATTCATTATGTTAATCCTCTGGAGCCAAGCTCGATGTGTCATGTCGACATGCAGTCTAGGTTGCGGATGACTGCACATTGTCATGTAAAATACCTAGAGAAATATCGATGCTTTGGTACTTGCCAACGTACGCGTTATTGTAGTCATGAAATGATTCTGAAATACATTGAGTTTTCTCTTCTTTCAGGAATATACTTCCTGGATGCCAGAAAGATTGACCGGTCATCTATCCTTCAGTGTAAGTACATGCAACGTATGTTACTGTTGTCATAGCCTGTCGTGGAGGTAGGGCTACAATATAGCCTCACTCCATTGATTAGGGAAGGCAGAGATACAATATACCATTCCTCCACTCTTTTTTTTTGTGTGTGTGGGGGTGGGGGGGTGTGTGGGGTGGGGGGGGGGGGGGGGGGTGAGGGTTGATATACCCTTACTCCATTAATTAGGGAAAGAAGGGCTACAATATACCGTTATTTCGTTCATTATGGGAGGCAGGGCTGCAAGGTACCCTTATTTCATTAATTAGGGGAAGCAGGGCTACAATATACCCTTATTTCATTCATTGGGGGAGGCAGGGCTGCAATATATACCCTTATTTCATTAATAAGGGAGGCAGGGCTGCAAGATACCCTTATTTCATACATCAGGGAGGCAGGGCTGCACGATACCCTTATTTCATACATCAGGGAGGCAGGGCTGCAAGATACCCTTATTTCATACATCAGGGGAAGCAGGGCTATAATATACCCTTATTTCATTAAAAAGGGCAAGCAGGGGTACAACATACCCTTATTTCATTAATTAGGGGAGGCAGGGGTACAACATACCCTTATTTCATTAATCAGGGGAGGCAGGGCTGCAAGATACCCTTATTTAATTAATTTCGGGAAGCAGGGCTACAATATACCCTTATTTCATTAATCAGGGGAGGCAGGGCTGCAAGATACCCTTATTTCAAAAATCAGGGGAGGCAGGGCTGCAAGATACCCTTATTTCATACATCCAAGTAATTTTTCTGAAAACCTCAAATTACTGATACCCTTCTTTCATTAATTAAGGGGGGCATGGCTTCAAGATACCCTTATTTCATTAATCAGGGGTTGGTTGGTTGGTTGGTTGTTTAACGCCTCACTCCGCAATATCCCAGCTATATGACGGCGGTCTGTAAATAATCGAGACTGGACCAGACAATCCAGTGATTGACATCATGAGCATCGATCCACGCAACTGGGATCGATGACATGCATCAACCAAGTCAGCGAGTCTGACCACCCGATCCCGTTAGTCGCCATTTACGACAAGTATAGTCACCTTTTACGGCAAGCATGGGTTGCTGAAGACCTATTTTACCCCAGAATCTTCACGGGTCCATTCATCAGGGGAGGAAGGGCTACAAGATCCCCTCCCTCCATTTATTAGCGGAGGCAGAGCTACACTACACCAGATAGGTGGGGTGGGTATGTAAATTTACACCGTGATGATCAGGTAATTTAGGTAAAACTTACACCATCCAGCTTGTGTCAAGTGAAGTGATGGGGATTTGTAATCAGCAGGCATACTATTTTCATGGGTTGAATGTTCGAATTCAGAGATCAGTGGAAATGGCTTTATATCCAAGAAATTTTCCTGAAAACCTCAATTTACCAGATAAATACCACTATGAGTACTACATTTTTTCACATTTTGAAGGTCTGTTTAACAAATGTCTTGATAACTGATTAAATAATCCAGAGTCTAATAGGCTAATTTTAGTTTCATTTCACTCCATATACCTTCTAGGTGTTGATAAATAAACACCAGTTTGCTTTTTTCTTAAAAGCTTTGAGTTTCTGTGAAAACTGTAAAACATCACAATATTACAAAACAGGATATGACCAAAGTTACTTTGTTTTTGTAGCTTACGTGTTTTTACAGCTTGCATTCAAGGAGGCTCCGTGGGGTGAACTCATTTCTTGCATGTATTTGGATACAAGAAAAATTAAAACAATCCATATTATCTCATATATGAACTCATCCGACAATATAGGCAGGGACACACTTAAACAAAGAATATTCTAATACTTACATCTGCTCATCAACTTGGCAGGGCTTCACTTCATGAGGTATTATCAAGTCGCTCTCAGCATCATAGACCAAAGTTGCATTGCAACCCCACCCTTTTGACGGAAAATTACACTTTTGAAGTGCCAAACATTCGGGCAACTTGGGAATATTGACGTCTACCCTCTATCGTATTCACAAGTCGCCATTTGGTCTGTTCATTGAGAATCTGTCTATGTGGCATTCTTTAATTTAGCGTGTGCTTAGCTTAAAGGCATTTTTGGCGCGGCTTCTCGTTGCAAATGCGCCTCAGCCTTACTTTCAAGACATTATAGCTCTCGCTACTTGAAATATCACGTCGTAAGAATGAATGAAGGTCGGTTGTTGTCGGTTTTGTTGTTTAACGCCGTACTCAGCAATATTCCAGCTATATGCAGCGGTCTGTAAATAATCTTGTCTTCACCAGACAATCCAGTGATTAATATCATGAGCATCAATCCACGCAATTGGGATCGATGACATGCATCAACCAAGTCAGCGAGCTTGACAACCAGATTCCGTAAGTCGCCTCTTACGACAAGCATAGTCGCCTTTTACATATGGGTTGCTGAAGACCTATTGTACCCCGGACCTTTTCTTCACGGGTCTATCGCCTGATTAATTAGCGAAGAAAGCTGAATGTGTGCCAATACGTATTGAGTGAAAACAAGCCTTTCCGCCAATGAGAAATATGACCTACGGTAATGTAACAAAATTTAAAGTGCGATTTTCAAGAAATGTACATTTTCTTTGCGATAAACATCATCATTGGGTTTAAAAATGGGGGAAATTCTACAGTCAGGTGACTGCGAACGTAAAATTTAGCAGTGACCTTGGTCGATGGCCCTTTAAATACTTCATCTGCACGTACTCTTCTTTCAGTTCGAGCCGGTAATGTTGGTACGCTCCAAAACGCTACTAAATATATAATCGCTCGCGCTCATCTAAATGCCGATCCTCAGTCACTTTCTGACAACATGACCAAAACGCAATTAATAATTTGAATTACTGTAAGTCATATTCCTTATCAGCGAAATGTCCAGTTTTCGATTTATAAGTATCAGCACTCATGCAGCTAACTTCGTTAATAAATAATCGCGATATTTCGTGACTCCATGTCAGGAGGCGAGGACTATAGTTCCCCTATTATTTGTCGGTAGTATATTTCACGTGCATCACACAGGGTAGACTCACGGTGTGGTCCAACAAGAACTCTGATATGTTTGAAGCTGTAAGACTGTCAGCCCTTCACTTGATGGGTCAAGATAATCTATAAAGGAGCCAGCAAAAAGAAAATGTGTTAATTGTATGACGTACAGGCAGGTACAGTGAATTGTTCAACATTCTCCTCATGTTGTTACCATGAACACTGTTAACTGTGTCGTGCCTGTGTGAATCAGTTCGATTGTATTATTATTATTCTATTTCTGAAAAAATCGCCGACTTATTGACACTTGACAATATACACTCACAAACTTTCTTATGGTTTGTTTGTTGGTTGGTTAACGCCGCACTCAGCAATATTCCAGTTGTATGATGGCGGTCTGTTATAGATACACTACCCGTCGCTCACATGTAAATACACAACGTATCAGATGATTATTCCAATGTTATAGAACTAGCATTGCTACACGTTGAACATGCCGTAGACAATGTGTGTGGCCCCATTCTCCAAATACATGAACATCTGGGTTCCCTGGTCAAGATTTAAGACACTGGAACTTCCACATGTACGTCCTGTCATTCCGCCTACTGACCTGTAGATGCGTTGAGCCTGACCAAGCGATCCATGTAATCGCCTCTTGGCTGCTGAGGAAACATACTGTGGCCCAGAATCACCATGCCGTTAATTAGAAGAACATGCATGCCAAGTTAAGTAGGATGATGCCCCCCCCCCCCCCCCCCCTCCACACACACACACACACCTTGTTTGGCTCCATGGTACACCCCGTTATAGCGCGCAAAGCAACGAAGTTGACGATCGAAATGACACGGTAGGATGACAGTGGCCATTTTAAGTTTGATGTAACTTCCATAGTTTATTCAGGAAAGAAAGCCAAAAGATGGCCGAGGCATGAATAAAAAATGCAATGTGTGCTAATAAGTAAACCTAATATTATTTTGGTATCATTCCACCAATTTCCCCAATGAAGTAGGCAAATACTCATTCACTCACCACCCACGCGAACAGCTGCAATAATAGTACTGGTAATTTTATAATAAGCAACAGTAAAACACTCACTCTCATGTTATGTCATGTTATTTTATGGAAAGGGTTTTGTCGATAGGATTTACAATATTTCAATCGTTTCTAACGGAAAACGCTATTTCACAACCTCTTATTACACTTATTCAATATTCCTTACCTTCACATATTACATCGGGAAACCACAGTAAATAGCTAGCGTTATAGATTAGTATTTACAGATTTTATTTGGATAATTGTGGTTTGCGACCATTGACAGAAATTGTAAAAAATATTTCTTATTGATTATAATCAATAAAATAAATGATCCCGATTCCATGGTCACTCGTGTGATCACAACATGGTACAGTTAGTTGGGTTCAATTTCCACTCTTAGTACCCTCTCAGTGGTATAATAGAACTTTTTCCATGCACTGACACATGTACTAAGCTTAACATCCGAGTTTCAAATAACCAACGATAGTCTTAGAGTAAACTTTGATTTGCGACTATGATTTTTGAGAAATAAATACGTAATTTCATTGGTCGGTCAAAGTTCGAGAATGGTCGTTCTGGCGTGACCTGTAATGAGGATGTCCTCAGCGGCAGCGAGAACTCGTATCCGATTTGAAGAGATTGAGGTAATCTAGGCATGTGATTAATCCTGTTTTGTTTATTTAAAGCAGTAATTGTTTATTGTTAAGCAAGTTTATCTGTGCAGCCGTTGAAATATACAGCTACTCGACGATTCGTCTCGTATCAAAACACAGACTGTGTACTCGCGGGCAGATGACCACGGAGTACGCTGATCACTGTGTCGGATTAACAAGACTGGTTAATGAGTGATTTCGGTAATTTGTTCTTCACGGGTCTTATTGTTGGTGTCCTCTACTGACGATGCTGCCTAACCATACTATCATCCATCGTCAACCCTTGTGCGTCCTGCAACGTGCCACACAATACTTCACCAGCTTCTAGATGACGTCACCAGGTCACGTGACACTGTGATCTCAACATTGACATGCAATCTACATGTTCCTCATTATACCACGTTCATTAGTGTCTCTGTTATAACACGGTGTACATTGTGATTGCGTCTGTTCGCCCACTGTGTGATTGTCGTGCCCAGTATATCCCCACGTATTTGTAATTCAGAATCTCAACTGCAAATATTTCTGATTTGTGTGACGTAATTTAATTGATGTTGATGTCTTGTGTCTGCCGTTCTGAATAATTTGCGCACTACACGCACTACACCTGTCACTTACTAATTCTACAGTCAGGTTAAAGGATTATCAGTGAATCCAATGTAAACACATAGATCCAAGGTATTACACAGTAGGTTTTATGTTCTTACTATTCCACTGTGATTATATTATACTGTTTGTATATTAGTACATTGTCAATTTCTTTCATTTAAATATCATTATAGAACTAGACTATCACTATTTGTCTTATGTTTTATTCACAAGTAAACAACATTCATATGTTGTAGGTATACATCTGAAGTATGACAAAGACAGAGTCAATCTCGACAAAGTCCACATCAACACAGAAGGAGACCTAGTCAACAGGAAGTCGGACACCAGACCTGCAGGGGAAGGGAGACTGAAGATGTACTGTGGCACATGTAGCACTGCCCCCCTCCCCCGGGCTGGCTGTCCCCAGTACTGGGAGGTGGTAAACAGGGTCAGTCTGGACAAACCACTCACATGGAACTGGCTCATCCTGGAGGTAGGGGTGTGTCAGGAGGAGCAGAGGGACGTGTCTCATTGTATCAGTGAACAACCCAGCACCTGCTGTATGCGGGTCTCCCACTGTCCTACACACGGCGGGATATGCAGGGAGACATGGAAGGAGGGGAAGCGTGTGCTGTGTCTGCCTGACACTCTCCCCAACACAGCAAGGACATTACGCACACTACATTACGGTGTTGTCTATGATGACGCCAGGAAGAAGATTGTCTTCATTGATGTGAAGGAGAACAAAGTGATGTCGAGGTTAGACAATGTAGACTCCAGTCAGCCACTGTGGCCGATGTTCGGGGTGTATAATCCATCTGTCCTCACTGTCAGCATGACACTTGTAGTGGGCAGCGACATCAACATGACAGAGGAGAAGAAAGCAATGATTGTCAAGGCGCTGTCGTGATGGTCACAATGATTGTCAAGGCGCTGTCGTGATCGTCACAATGATTGTCAAGGCCCTGTCGTGATGGTGACAGTTATTGTCAAGGCCCTGTCGTGATGGTGACAATGATTGTCAAGGCACTGTCGTGATGGTGACAATGATTGTCAAGGCGTTGTCGTGATGAGGACACTGATTGTCAAGGCGTTGTCGTGATGGTGAGAATGATGGTGATATGAACACACATAGATTTCTGGAAGACACTCACTGCTCAGGAACAACTGCGGACTGTGGGGAATGCAATCAATATCAATCTGTTTAAAGTGTTTATATCTTTTGGTTTTAAGTAAATTATGTTGTATGCGATAAGTATATTTAGCACAAAATATCAAATTTATATTTAAATACACTCTCAAGCATTTCTTTAAGACATTTTGCTACAACAATTCCTTTTGATCATTTCTTACGACAAAATTCCAGAATGTATTTTACACGCGCTTCAGTGGAACGCAAAAAACATACATGCACCCCGAGTGGTACTCCAGCAACGAATTTATCTTACCAACATGTTTTAAACTCATTGCAAAAGAATTAAAACAAATCCAAAATTGATGGAAAACAGCTGTTCGAGTGAGCTGAGGTTAAATTTAGCTATGTCAGCGACGTTGCGTGACTCGAAAAAAATAGATCATGGGTTTTTTTTCGCTTCGAAGCGTGGAATAAGGGACTTGTTCGTTCCCACAGAAATCACGTACAGCTTGTCTTGTTCGAGGCGGAGCATAAGGAATTTATTCTGCCGCTCAAAAATTTGATTTGTCTCCCAGACGGGATACATAGATTTTTATCAAGATAACGTGATACAATCAGATCTCATCACTCTGACATGGTGTGGTGAGGTGAAATGAGGTTTAACGTCGCGTTCAATAATATTTCACTTACATTGCGACCGTGTGTGTGTGTGTGTGTGTGTGTGTGTGTGTGTGTGCGTGTGCGTGTGTGTGTCTCACACCAACACCGTCAAAACATTTGGTTTTTTGTTGTTGTTTTTTGTGCGGGTGGGGGGTGGGGGGGTGGGGGGGTGGGGGGGGGGGGGGTTATAGTGGACTAGCCTCTGAAATAAGGCAGCAAACCACGGAAGGCTGTCAGGGGGGATTACACCCAGTTCGAGAAAATCATCATTCAATCATAGATATACCTTTACAGGAGAGAACGCTATCTTCTCAGTGCTGCACAAGTCTTTGTTTGATTTAGAAAAGGGTGTCTTTAGTGTGTTCTTATATCAATCCTGTGATTGCGTCTCAACCATTGCTTATTACACAATGCTCTACATTCGATGTCATGTCGAGGTCAGACTCGTTACACCTGCCACTAACTTATAGATTTTGGTCCAGAAACTGAACTCTCATCTGATGGAAAACAACCAACTACACCACGTGCACACACTGACGATCCTTTCGCTCAAACAGAATCTTGAATGACGAGTTGATTACAGATTTTACGAACACTTCCAGACTCTTCCAGACTTCCTGATTTTTTAGATACAGACTTGAGAGAACACGATTGACCGTAGCCTTACTACAAGTTGTGACCACAAAATAATTTAATGGTCTCTGCTACAAGGTTGCCCTGTGTGTTTAGTAAGCCTGCCCTTATAGCATCCAAGTCTAGATAAGTGAACTCTACGCCAGTCTTACAGGGACGACTTGTTCTTATTATTTACTTGATCTACAAATTATCAAATAAGCTTGAGTTCAGAGTCTGAACACATGAAATGAGCTACACGTATTTTACTCACTCACTCACCCACTGATTCACTCACCACTAACTCTGATTCACTGGCTCACTCTCTCACCCACTCGCTAACTCACCAAACCACTCATCAACTCACTCTCATTCACTCGCTCATCTTTGATCAATATATGTCGACTGTAATTATTTCCCATTAAACACAGTTACGCGACGAAATATGTTTTTTATGGAATAATAATCACTGACCTAACCAGAAATACCAGTTTTGTAATATTTCATGTCCGAATAAACATATGTTCTTTACTGTAAACAATGGTTATTTTGTAACCGTCGACATGTGGAATAGGTCTTCAGCAACCCATGCTTGCCTCAAAAGGTGACTATGCTTGTCGTAAGAGGCGACTAACGGAATCGGGTGGTCGGGCTCGCTGACTTGGTTTGATGCATGTCATCGTATCCCAATTGCTCGGGTCGATGCTCATGATGTCAATCACTGGATTGTCTTGATTATTGCTGAGTGCGGTGTTAAACAACACACACACACACACACACACACACACACACACACACACACACACACACACACACACACACACAAATAAAGCATAACAAATTTACGCAGAGTTGTCTCCCTTGGGCACGCCAGAAACCTGATCGTGGGTTCCAATCCCGACTCGCACCGATTATATTTCTAGGCTTGTCAGCACCATAACTGTGCTCGTAGGTTTAAACAAAGAAGTAAGTGTCTAAGACAGGCAGAACTTCTGGCTTTCCACATTAAGCTGACACGTGGAATACAGTAAAATGCAGCGTTATACAACTCACTCACTCTGATCAAATTTGTAATGAGCACTGATGGATATCCTGTGACGCCCAACATCACCTTACACACACTAGTTTATATGTATATTTGTATATTCGTCAGCCTAAGATATGAGCACTGATGGATATCCTGTGACGCCCAACATCACCTTACACCCACTAGTTTATATGTATATTTGTATATTTGTCAGCCTAAGATTTGAGCACTGATGGTTATCCCCTGACGCCCAACATCACCTTACAACCACTAGTTTATATGTATATTCGTCAGCCAAAGATATGAGCACTGATGGATATCCTGTGACGCCCAACATCACCTTACACCCACTAGTTTATATGTATATTTGTATATTCGTCAGCCTAAGATATGAGCACTGATGGATATCCTGTGACGCCCAACATCACCTTACACCCACTAGTTTATATGTATATTTGTATATTCGTCAGCCAAAGATATGAGCACTGATGGATATCCTGTGACGCCCAACATCACCTTACACCCACTAGTTTATATGTATATTTGTATATTTGTCAGCCTAAGATGTGATCACTGACGGATGTCCTGTGACGCCCATTATCACCTTACACCCACTAGTTTATATGTATATTTGTATGTTTGTCAGCCTAAGATATGAGCACTGATGGATATCCTGTGACGCCCAACATCAACTTACACCCACTAGTTTGTATGTATATTTGTATATTTGTCAGCCTTAGATGTGATCACTGATGGATACCCTGTGACGCCCAACATCACCTTACACACACTAGTTTATATGTACATTTGTGTATGTTAGCCTAAGATATGATCACTGATGGATATCCTGTGACGCCCAACATCACCTTACACCCACTAGTTTATATGTATATTTGTATATTCGTCAGCCTAAGATATGAGCACTGATGGATATCCTGTGACGCCCAACATCACCTTACACCCACTAGTTTATATGATTGTATAGTTGTATATGCGTCAGCCTAAGATATGATCACTGATGGATATCCTGTGACGTGAAACACACATGTCACATTGATACAACATTAAGTCTGAGGTGAGGTATGCAAAGCGTGAAACAGACGTCACATTGATACAACATTGATTGGTCAAGTTTGCTCGTACTATCAGTCACTGGTTTGTATGGTCAAGACTCAGTTATATAAAGGTCACGGCCTCATAGATGAAATATTGCTGAGTGTGACGTTAAACAATCAATATAAACGCATCTTTTAGGTCTACTGTAAAACCCTACAGTGAACAAGACTGGGGATGACGAACGGGTAAGGGGAACAACTCTTGTTGGCTTAATATTACTCAGATCTGTCAGAACATGTTCATCCACAAGAGTGAGAGTCTCTCCTATGAAAGCGCATGTCCGTGTGTGTCTGTGCGTGCGTGCGTGTGTGCGTGCGTGCGTGCGTGCGTGCATGTGTGTGGCTGAATGTACCAGTCCGGACTGTATGTCTGTGTGTCTGTACTAATGTAAGGGACTGGAACTATAGGCGGCGGTTGAATTAAAGTTGTTAGGCTTGTGTGTGTGTGTGTGTGTGTGAGTGAGTGCGTGCGTGCGTTGGTGTGCGCGCGCGCGCGCTCTTGTATGTACGAGACTTGACTCACGAATAAGTGTTTTTTGTCAAAACAGACTGAACTTATAAAGTTTTGTTATTGGCTGGGCTTATTAAATAATGTCTGTAAGGACTTATTTGAGTGTATGTTTATGTAAACAATATGTCGGTGGGTGTATTAACAGCTGATCGCCATGCTAGATGAACTGGCCACCGAGCACATCCCACATGGGATGGATACCGGCTGTTGTCAGACAGAGGAAAAGTGGAGCAAGACGATGGTGTCGCCTTGAGAACATGTCTAGTAGGTTAAACAAACACGTGTTTAACTGTGCTGATAGATACGCTGTAAATGGTTGTAAAAATTGGAATGGTAGGGTAAGAAAGAAGTTTACTAATATGGATTTAGGACATCTATTAAACGCTACAGGTTTTATTGATAAATTTTCTGTTTGTACACAGGTGGAACAATGGTGTAAGAATGAATATGTTACCCGTTGGAGTGATATGTTAAGAAAGGAAGAGGGGCGAAATGGGCTTAATAAATTGAGAATGTATCGATGTTACAAACAAGTATATGGGACAGAATACTATGTTTCAAATAAGATGCCCAGAAACTATAGATCGGCACTAGCCAAGTTTAGATGTGGCGTGTCTCCTATTCGAGTGGAAACCGGTCGGTACGAAGGTGTGCCTGTCAACAATAGAAAATGTTTGCACTTTAATGACAGCGTAGAAGACGAGGGCCATGTTTTGTTTCACTGCGTATTATATGACGATATCAGGGCAACTCTTTTTAATGAATGTATTGCTTAATCTTATAATGTTTTAGATATACCTGATATCGACAAACTTTGTTTAATTTTCAGTGACTCCAGTGTGTGTTTTATACTTGCCAAAGTCTGCTTTTTAATTCTTAATCGTAGAAAACATCTTTTATATGGATAACTTCTTACTATATCATCTTTATATCATTTATGTATAAATTCTGTGATAATTTGTCTCTAATAATTCTATTGAATGGTTCTGTACATTCTATCTATGTCAAGTTGTACAAAGCTGTTTTATGTATGTACAGAAGTGAGACGTTAATAAACTATTGTCTTTCTGTCTGTCCCACGTCCATCGGACCAGAAGGACTGATGATGACGTTTGTTTAACAACACCCGGTAACCCAGGGGTCAGGCGGCCGGGAGACGTACATACTTACTTCAAATATACGTCTTTACTGATTAAATATTATATGTATCCAGATGCCAAGAAGTGATGTTCATCGTTAGTCAAGTCACACCATGATGCGCCCAGCAATTCCCTTCTCAAGTCATGATGTAAAGGTTACAAACAGATTCAATCGAAATCAAAACCAATCGTCACAGCAGGACCAGTGCCTGGTTGGACAAGGGCGCGTTCTCCCGTGTTGGTTGTGCACTATGTACGACTTGGGGAACGTACAATGACTATGTGGGTACTTAGACTGTCAGTAAAATACTCTTCAGATTTGTCAGGCGCCTTCCACAGCAATGAGCTTCGATGTCCTTTCTTTCTAGTTTAACAAAATAATCACGGGCTTGACGCTTACAGCAATTGACAATTCTGACAGCGGTAAATATGCATATAAAACTATAGATTTTCCGCTACTGTGTTGAGAAAGAGTTCATTAAATGCAAATCGCGGACTCCTGATGTAAGCGACCACTTAAGTGACATAATCGCTCCCAATGAAATCCCCCACTTGACTTAATATTTTATCGAACGTAATGTGTATGGAAAATAAGCCACAATATGAATCAATGCTCTCGTCTGTGTGTGAGCAGTTTCACCCGAGTGTACCGTCATTAACATTGTTGCCGGAATCGAGTACTCTTCATTGTAAAACACAAGTCATATTGACTGTAGCAGATATATCTCCGTTATTTATATTAACTGTAGCAGATATAGCTCCGTTATTCATACAGGGCAATACAATTCATATTGACTGAAGCAGATATATTTCCGTTATTCATACAGGGCAATACAATTCATATTGTCTGTAGCAGATATATCTCCGTTATTCATATTGACTGTAGCAGATATATCTCCGTTATTCATACAGGGCAATACAATTCATATTGACTGAAGCAGATATATTTCCGTTATTCATACAGGGCAATACAATTCATATTGACTGTAGCAGATATATTTCCGTTATTCATACAGGGCAATACAATTCATATTGACTATAGCAGATATATTTCCGTTATTCATACAGGGCAATACAATTCATACTGACTGTAGCAGATATATATCCGTTATTCATACAAGGCAATACAATTCATATTGACTATAGCAGATATATTTCCGTTATTCATACAGGGCAATACAATTCATACGAACTGTAGCAGATATATTTCCGTTATTTATACAGAGCAATACAATTCATACTGACCGTAGCAGATATATCTCCGTTATTCATACAAGGCAATACAATTCATATTGACTATAGCAGATAACATCTCCGTTATTCATACAGGGCAATACAAGTCATTTTCACTGTAGCAGATAACATCCCCGTTATTCATACAGGGCAATACAATTCATATTGACTGCAGCAGATATATCTCCGTTGCTCTGTACAGGGCAATTCAATTCATACTGACTGTAGCAGATAATATCTCCGTTGCTCAATACAGGGCAATACCAGTCATATTGAATGTAGCAGATATATCTCCGTTGCACAGTACAGAGATATACAAGTCATATTGGCTGTAGCAGATATATCTCCGTTATTAATACAGGGCAATACAATTCTTATTGACTGTAGCAGATAACATCTCCGTTATTCATACAGGGCAATACAAGTCATTTCCACTGTAGCAGATAACATCTCGGTTATTCATACAGGGCAATACAATTCATATTGAATGTAGCAGCTATATCTCCGTTGCTCAATACAGGGCAATACAATTCATATTGACTGTAGCAGATATATCTCCGTTGCTCAATACAGGGCAATACAATTCATATTGACTGTAGCAGATATATCTCCGTTGCTCTGTACAGGGCAATTCAATTCATACTGACTGTAGCAGATATATCTCCGTTGCTCAATACAGGGCAATACAAGTCATATTGAATGCAGCAGCTATATCTCAGTTGCACAGTACAGAGATAAACAAGTCATATTGGCTGTAGTAGATATATCTCCGTTGCTTTGTAGAGGGCAATACAATTCATATTGACTGTAGCAGATATATCTCCGTTGCTCAATACAGGGCAATACAATTCATATTGACTGTAGCAGATATATCTCCGTTGCTCTGTACAGGGCAATTCAATTCATACTGACTGTAGCAGATATATCTCCGTTGCTCAATACAGGGCAATACAAGTCATATTGAATGCAGCAGCTATATCTCAGTTGCACAGTACAGAGATATACAAGTCATATTGGCTGTAGTAGATATATCTCCGTTGCTTTGTAGAGAGCAATACAATTCATATTGACTGTAGCAGATATATCTCCGTTGCTCAATACAGGGCAATACAATTCATATTGACTGTAGCAGATATATCTCCGTTGCTCTGTACAGGGCAATACAATTCATATTGACTGTAGCAGATATATCTCCGTTGCTCTGTACAGGGCAATTCAATTCATATTGACTGTAGCAGATAATATCTCCGTTGCTCAATACAGGGCAATACAAGTCATATTGAATGTAGCAGCTATATCTCAGTTGCACAGTACAGAGATATACAAGTCATATTGGCTGTAGCAGATATATCTCCGTTGCTTTGTAGAGGGCAATACAATTCATATTGACTGTAGCAGATATATCTCCGTTGCTCAGTACAGGGCAATACAAGACTAGTCATATGGACTGTAGAAGATATATCTCCGTTATCCAGTACAGGGAATACGGGTGGACGTATTCGACACATCAACATGGGTGGATGTATTGACCATAACGGCATGGGTGGATGTATTAACCATAACAGCATGGGTGGATGTATTGACCATAACGGCATGGGTGGATGTATTGACCATAACTGCATGGGTGGATGTATTGACCATGACGTCATGGGTGGATGTATTGACCATAACTGCATGGGTGGATGTATTTACCATAACAGCATGTATGGATGTATTTACCATAACTGCATGGGTGGATGTATTGACCATAACGGCATGGGTGGATATATTGACCATAACGGCATTGATGGATGTATTGACCATAACGGCATGGATGGATGTATTGCACATAATGTCATGTATCGATGCACCAGGTGAAACAGTTCATATTTTGAGCGAAAATGTTGATATATCGGGTGTAACAGTTTTGGGTTTTAGGAATGGATTGCTAGATGGAATATTTAACAGGGTTCTAGCGAAGCTTGTTTTTTAGGGTCAGACAAGCGAAGGGGACTGACCCCAAGATAACTGCATCACACACACAACGTGATCACATAACTGTCAGTTGAGGTAAAAAGGCGTGAAAGTGTTTCCGGGCTGCGTATTAGCGCTACAATTACGCGGTCGATACACAAGCATCGACTGGCAGGCCTCGCCGCACGCGCGCTCTCTGTGACGTCACCCAAGAGATGTCAAGTACCTGTCAACATACAGCTGAAGAGCTGAAGGCGATTTGATACGCCGACTACAATTACTTTTGCGTGTGGTGAGGACGGCTTTATGTTTGTACATTTTTAAAGAGGGTTGTATTCGAAATAGACATGAAAGAAAACGGTCGTGATTTGTTAAACGGAAGCGACTGTCAGAACAACTTCCGCTATCGCTGATTTGTTGCGGGCGGTTAAGACTGGGTCTGTGGATGTTGCACCCGCTTGTCAACAGGGCATATAACTCACGTGGAGGAGAGCCGTCAACACGAGATCCGGGAATACCAGAGAACACGACTCGACAATGCACGGGTTTGTTACACCGGATAGAAAGTATCCCAGCCGAGTAATAGATCTGTGATCAGTTGAAGAGTGGCTCTTCGCATTTTTTCCGTATTGAATACAAATGGAGTACAGCGTTAAAATTTAAGTTTAAAATAAATGTCCTCTAAAAGATGTTTATTTGACAATCAGTACAATGCGAGCACAATCACTTGTGAGTCAGTGACGTCACATAATTATGACGCCATATTGTCGACCGACCAGCATTCTTGACAACTCGTGCAATTCCGAGAAAAGTCCTTGTTTCGAAAAAAACGAGAGTGGTGGTGTATGTCCGTCCGACCAGTCAACTTTCATGATTTTTATTAGACGGAGCACAAATACTTCATCCGTTTTATATTTTTATTTCATTTATTTATAAACTTATTTATTTCTATATTTTGGGGGGATGGATAGTCATGATTAACCAGCCGTGGGTTTTACCACAGGGGTAGACGTCTATGACCTGCATCATTATGTCTTTTCAAGGAGGGTGAACCGAACACTGGGTACATCGTTCCACCGACAGTTAGCTGTCTGTGTGTCATAGTGTCAGGCGTGGCATGGGGTAATCTGGTGGTTCAAGTGTCCTCTCGTCACGCCAAAGACTAGGGTTCGATTCCCATAGAAGCCAATTTCCATTTCAGGTGTCCTCCCGCCATGATATTGGAGGCGTATTGCTAAATTGCTAAAAGCGTCGTAAAATATATTCAGTCGTCGCTCATGCCTTCGACCACTGTTTTGCCTGGTCCAGACTCGACAGCTAAAGTCTCCACATAAGCCTGGCTTCACGACTCTGAGCGTGACTGCCGTGACATGTCGCATACCTGAACCCATCTTATGCATGTAATTAGACGAGGCCGTGAAAGACAATCCTCTGTGCGGGAGTGGCAGATGCTACAGGCTGTCGAATAGCGCGTAGGTGTGTCACTGTCACGTACAGATATACGGTGGCCATGGTGGCGGCGTTTAGCTGCAGCTCATATACTTTGGTGGAGTGTTGGCTGGCGTGGGAGTTGGTTTCGTCGTCCCAAGTCTCGGCTTCAGTTGAATGTGAATCTTTTGGTCACGATCTATAGGAAATGGGACTTCCTTCTGTGTCAGTATTGGGCCTCAGTAAAATTGGTCATCCTTTAGTATTGGGACTGACAGTCAGTGAAATGGGTCATCCTTTAGTATTGGGACTGACGGTCAGTAAAATGGATTATACTTTAGTATCGGGACTGACAGTCAGTAAAACGAAACGGGTCATTCTTTAGTATTGGGACTGGTAGTCAGTGAAATGGGTCATCCTTTAGTATTGGGACTGACAGTCAGTAAACTGGGTTATACTTTAGTATCGGGACTGACAGTCAGTAAAATGTGTTATTCTTTAGTATTGGGACTGACAGTAAAATGTGTTATTCTTTAGTATTGAGACTGACAGTAAAATGGGTCTTTCTTTAGTATTGGGACTGACAGAAAAATGGGTCATCCTTTAGTACTGGGAATGAAAGTCAGTAAAATGGGTTATACTTTAGTACTGGGACTGACAGTGAGTAAAACGGGCCATTCTTTAGTATTGGGACTGGTAGTCTGTGAAATGGGGCATCCTTGAGTATTGGGACTGACAGTCAGTAAAATGGGTTATTCTTTAGTATTGGGACTGACAGTAAAATGGGTCATCCTTTAGTACTGGAACTGACAGTGAGTAAAATGGGTTATTTTTTAGTATTGGGTCTGGTAGTCAGTGAAATGGGTCATCCTTTAGTATTGGGACTGACAGTCAGTAAAATGGGTTATTCTTTAGTATCGGGACTGACAGTCAGTAAAATGGGTTATACTTTAGTATCGGGACTGACAGTCAGTAAAATGGGTCATTCTTTAGTATTGGGACTGACAGTAAAATCGGTCTTTCTTTAGTATTGGGACTGACAGTAAAACGGGTCATCCTTTAGTTTTGGGACTGGTAGTTCGTGAAATGGGGCATCCTTTAGTATTGGGACTGACAGTCAGTAAAATGGGTTATACTTTAGTATTGGGACTGACAGTAAAATGGGTTATTCTTTAGTTTTGGGACTGACAGTAAAATCGGTCTTTCTTTAGTATTGGGACTGACAGTAAAACGGATCATCCTTCAGTATTGGGACTGTTGTTCGTGAAATGGGGCATCCTTTAGTATTGGGACTGACAGTCAGTCAAATGGGTTATACTTTAGTATTGGGACTGACAGTAAAATGGGTCATTTTTTAGTATTGGGACTGACAGTCAGTAAAATGGTTCATTCTTTAGTATTGGGACTGGTAGTAAGTGAAATGGGTCATCCTTTAGTACTGGGAATGAAAGTCAGTCAAATGGGTTATACTTTAGTATTTGGACTGACAGTAAAATGGGTCATTTTTTAGTATTGGGACTGACAGTCAGTAAAATGGTTCATTCTTTAGTATTGGGACTGGTAGTAAGTGAAATGGGTTATTCTTTAGTATTGGGACTGACAGTAACAGTAAAATGTGTTAGCCGAGATTTTCTGTGAAATGGGTTTCCTTCTGTGTTAGCCGTGATTCTCAGTGAAATGGGTTTCCTTCTGTTTTAGCCGATATTCTCAGTGAAATGGGTTTCCTTCTGTGTTAGCCGTGATTCTCAGTGAAATGGGTTTCCTTCTGTGTTAGCCGTGATTCTCAGTGAAATGGGTTTCCTTCTGTGTTAGCCGTGATTCTCAGTGAAATGGGTTTCCTTCTGTGTTAGCCGAGATTCTCTGTGAAATGGGTTTCCTTCTGTGTTAGCCGTGATTCTCTGTGAAATGGGTTTCCTTCTGTGTTAGCCGATATTCTCTGTGAAATGGGTTTCCTTCTGTGTTAGCCGTGATTCTCAGTGAAATGGGTTTCCTTCTGTGTTAGCCGATATTCTCAGTGAAATGGGTTTCCTTCTGTGTGAGCCGTGATTCTCAGTGAAATGGGTTTCCTTCCGTGTTAACCGAGATTCTTAGTGAAATGGGTTTCCTTCTGTGATAGGACTGGACGTCGGTGAAATGTGATTGTTTTTATTTTGGAATAGTCACTTAAATGAATAATGTTCCTCTGAAAATAGAATTTTTCTACACATATTTTTTTAGGAGATCCTGAATGTCAAGCGAACGCATATCTATAAACTCCTAGGGAGACATGGTTGCGTTGTCGCGCTTTTATTAATTTTTGACACTTTTTTTGTAAGAGCGACATTGCGACCCTTCTAAGATTCCATACATATCATTTTGTAAAGCCCGAGCCATATTTTCTTGAAAACATTTGTTTGACTGTCAGAATCACAGTTACACACTTTCTTAAACGACTTCATGAAGATCAAATTAATTTTTGCGTGCCCCTACAATTTTACACAGACTTCTTTTCAGATTTAACGCCGTTCTCTTTGTATGTGATCACCCGATACCGATCTGGAGGTCAGTGGGTGCATACATCCCGCCTAACGGACGCCCCCATATTTCGATTATCTTTACAAACAGATTCGCTGTCGTCAACAACAGTCGTGTCCTGTCCCACCAAATATTCATCATGTGGAGGTATTGGCTGCCCCTTCTTCCAGTACTAATACATGTTACCTCCTTTCGATGGAGTACACAGCAGGGCTCGGTTTTCAGTTAATGCATCTCCTTATAGGTTATGTCCACTGAAGGCGACGAGAAATGCCGATGCACGTGACCCGCAAAGTCGGGTTCTTGTTATTCCACTTCTGACACCAAATGTTATGGTTGGTAGACACAACCGGAAGTTGTGGCCGAAACCTGTATTCATATGATCAGCCAATCAAAGCCAAGCCTCCAGTATCGCACCTCGCGGGATAATCGCCCTCTACGTTTCAAGACAATCGACACGGAAATTAGAAGGTAATAAGCAGTGTGTTTTTATGTACGATTCCGTAAATGACTTTCATCCGGGAAGCCGAACTAACCACTGACAGTGCGTTTCACACAGCAATATGTGGTAGGGATGTTGAATTATATTACGTTGAGGGCAGTTAAATATTATCGTTTTCGTTTAACGTCTCAGTCATAAAAGTGTAAAAGATGTAGCTGGTTGTTGATATATTTGCATCTCATAAGGAACATTACTTCCAGACTCTGGACGCCTTGACTGACGTTCATGTCGGGTAAACCGCCAGCAAAAGAAGATGTTCGCTTGAAAACTGGATGTGACCAAAATATTAAAACCGTTGTCTAAACTTTTCTTTGCCGAAACACTGCAAACGCAACTATGATGTTGTGTCAACGGCCCAATGGCGTTAACATGGGACAAGACGTAGCTGATGACCATCTACGTCGATGGGGTGACTGCGTTGCATATTGGTCATTGTAACACCTGATAAACCCCAACACTGAACACCTGAAATACTCCAAAACTGAACACCTCATATACTCCAACCCTGAACACCTTATATACTCCGACACTGAACACCTGAAATACTCCTACACTAAACACCTGAAATACTCCAACACTAAACACCTGAAATACTCCAACACTGAACGCCTGAAATAGTCCAACACTGAACACCTGAAATGACCCAACACTAAACACCCGAAATACTCCAACACTGAACACCTGAAATACTCCAACACTAAACACCCGAAATACTCCAACACTGAACACCTCATATACTCCAACTCTGAACACCTGAAATACTCCAACAATGAACACCTCATATACTCCAACACTGAACACCTCATATACCCCTACACTCAACACCTCATATACTCTAACACTACACACCTCATTTACTCCAACACTGAACACCTTATATACAACACTAAACACCTGAAATACTCCAACAATGAACACCTCATATTCTCCTACACTGAACATCTCATATACTCCAACACTGAACACCTGATATACCACTGCACTGAACACTTCATATACTCCAACACTGAACACCTCACATACCCCTACACTGAACACCTCATATACTCCAACACTGAACACCTCATATACCCCTACAATGAACACCTCATACACTCCAACACTAAACACCTCATATACTCCAACACTGAACACCCCATATACTCCAACACTGAACACCTCATATACCCCTACACTGAACACCTCATATACTCCAAGACTGAACACCTCATATACCCCTACACTGAACACCTCATATACTCCAACACTGAACACCTCATATACACCAACTCTGAACACCTGAAATACTCCAACAATGAACACCTCATATACTCCAACACTGAACACCTCATATACCCCTACACTGAACACCTCATATACTCTAACACTACACACCTCATTTACTCCAACACTGAACACCTTATATACAACACTAAACACCTGAAATACTCCAACAATGAACACCTCATATTCTCCTACACTGAACATCTCATATACTCCAACACTGAACACCTGATATACCACTGCACTGAACACTTCATATACTCCAACACTGAACACCTCACATACCCCTACACTGAACACCTCATATACTCCAACACTGAACACCTCATATACCCCTACAATGAACACCTCATACACTCCAACACTAAACACCTCATATACTCCAACACTGAACACCCCATATACTCCAACACTGAACACCTCATATACCCCTACACTGAACACCTCATATACTCCAAGACTGAACACCTCATATACCCCTACACTGAACACCTCATATACTCCAACACTAAACACCTCATATACTCCAACACTAAACACCTCATATACTCCAACACTGAACACCTCATATACTCCAACACTGAACACCTCATATACCCCTACACTGAACACCTCATATACCCCTACACTGAACACCTCATACACTCCAACACTAAACACCTCATATACTCCAACACTAAACACCTCATATACTCCAACACTGAACACC